AATCAAATGACTCGAAAAAAGATTCGTTCATTTAAGTTGAACAGGAGAGTCACGAATGCGCATCACAGAACAGAGCAAGGCGAGCATTTGAGCTTATAAAACTTAAACTTTATTTTTTTTTTAAATGATTCATCGTTTCGCTTGATAAGACCCTTATTCATCGTCTGGTGTTGTCTGAAGCTGCACTGAAACTGTCTTTTGGACCTTGAACCGTTTGGTTCCCATTGAAGTCCATTATATGGAGAAAAATCCTGGAATGTTTTCATCAAAAACCTTCATTTCTTTTCGACTGAAGAAAGAAAGACATGGACATCTTGGATGACATGGGGGTGAGTAAATTATCAGCAAAAGTTTTTTTGTTTTTTTTTAAATGAATTACTCCTTTAAGTATTGTATTAAGTTAAGTGGCAGATATTTAAGTATCTGCCACTTTCATTTTTAAAAAGTAGCTCTCAAATGAAATAAAGTTGGAGACCGCTGGTATAGAGCAATACTCTACTGGAATTAGTGGGCTAAAGTCAGTCACACCACCTCAACTTTCTTCTAAATAACACACATTTCATTCATAATATCACAATTACATGGGGCACTTATGTTGTTCTAATAAAATATAACTGTGCAGAGTTTTGTGGGGGGTGGGGGTGCCTGAAGGGTGTAATTCAATGTAGAACCGCCACTGCCTGCGTTGTAATTTAATGTTCAATTGTATTCTCCCATGTTGAAAGGTAAGACAGTGAAACAACATCACGATGGCAATAGGGATGCAGCGATTACCGGATTTCACAATTAACCACGTTTAAAACGTCACGGTTAATTAATCGTAAAGACTGTGCTACACCGAGTGTTCCGCACGCAACGGAAATTTAGCAACTAACACAAAACGAAAACAAAGTTACACCAGCGGTGCACCAGCTTAAAGTGCCGCGCTCATCAGTCACTACGGCAGAGGGACTAACCTGTGACGCTCTATTTCCTCTTTTTCCTTCTATAGATATGAATAAGAGTGACGATGCAAATAACAGCTGTATTCGGTACGGTTTTCTGTGCGCACACACCCGACCCGAAGCGTGCCGGCGTGCTCATAGACACAGCGCGTGAGTGCTGAATTGAGCTCTCTTTCATGTCTGAATGGACAAATACACACAACATTATGTCGAAATGTCCGTTTTGGACAGTATTCATGTAAACTATGTCGGTTATGTCTTAAACAGTTGTGAGCGTATGGGATGTGCATCAGTGCAATCGTCTCCGCATGTCATTGGACGTGATCTGATGAAGTGAAGTGATGGTGGATAATAAACATAATGCGGTCTGTGTCCTTAATATTGATCAAAAAAAACAAAAGAAAAAGAGAAAAGCATTCACTGTTTGTTTATAGCTTTAATACGGATTAATTATAATCATACAAATAAATATGTCTGCGTGAAAGAATAAAGAATGATGTATGCAAGTGGTTATAAAGAATGCATATGTCATTCATTGAAAAGAAGACTGTGTTTTACTTTAGGAAAAGTGGTTTTAATTTGTTTTCTTTTAAAAGAAATACATGGTTAATATTTAGCTTACATTTAATTCAATAGATCCCAAGACTTTGTTTATTCTTATTTTCATTGGGATTTATTATCCCTTTATATTATTATTTATGTTTTTAAGTTAAATACCAACAATATATTGTTTTCATGTTTTCTACCTCAGGTTGAAAATAAATTTAGAACAAACTCAACATGACATCATGACTTTTGCGTAAACATACACGCCACTTTCGAGTCAAGTGGCGTGTTATCTCTACGCATTTTGAGCTATCCGTGTGTATGCGTGTATGCCTACGCCATTAACGTCCGCGTCATTCCGCGTGTCTGTACACACAGTCAAATCTCAAGTCATAAATGTCATTAACCCCAGTGACGGTTAGGTTTAGGGACGGGGTTGAGGTAAGTCATATATTTATATAACGTTAAGTCAACGTCGTTCATAAACACGCTGAAAGGCGATTATGCGTCTTGATAGCACGCCAAAAATGGAAATACGAATTGGCGTGGCATACACACGCTACTTCATGAGATCAGTCT